GCAGTGGCCAGATCTCAGCTCACTGCAAGCTCCGCCTCCCGGGTTTACGCCATTCTCCTGCCTCAGCCTCCCGAGTAGCTGGGACTACAGGCGCCTGCCACCTCGCCCAGCTAGTTTTTTGTATTTTTTAGTAGAGACAGGGTTTCACCGTGTTAGCCAGTATGGTCTCGATCTCCTGACCTCGTGATCCGCCTGTCTCGGCCTCCCAAAGTGCTGGGATTACAGGCTTGAGCCACCGCGCCCGGCCACAAACATGTTTTTTAATACAGTCTAATGCAGTCTTTATCTTACCTATCAAGGCCATTTATGTTTATTGTAATTGCTGATACCTTACTTTATACTTTCTATTTAGCCTGTCCTTTTTGTGCTGTTTTTTACCCCGTGCCAGCTTTCTGGATTGATCGTGTTTTTTATTTGTTTGTTTTTGTTTTTAATTCTGACCCCTACAATGTTTTTCAACTTCAGTACTATGGACATTTGGGGCTGGATCATTTTGTGTTGTGGAAGGCCATCCTGTGCATTATAGGATATTTAGTAGCATCCCTGGCCCCTGGGAACATCTGCCCCCTAGTCAGACTGACAACCAAAGTCATCTCCAAACATTGCCAAGTATCTTCTGGAAGTAGGATCATCCCTGGTTAAAAACCACTGCTTTGTGGGCTTAGAAGTTTTATACTACATTTATTCTTTTATTTCTGACATGAGCAGGTCTGACATGAATCATGAAAAACCTGAGGACTTCAGAACACTTGATTTTGTTGCCACATTCCCACCTCATTGGCCGCTGTTGTCCAGTATATTAGTCTATTCCATTAATTCTAAGTCATGATTTCTGCATTTCATATGGTCATCACTGGATTTGATTTAAATATACATTCATCAATTTTTTTTTTTAAGGAGATGACATCTCACTATGTTGCCCAGACTAGTGGTAAATGCCTGGGCTCAAGTGATCCCCCACCTTAACCTCCCGAAGTGCTGGGATTACAGGTGTGTGAGTCACCACACCCAGCCCACATTCATCATATTCATCAATTCCTTTGTTTTTCCTTCCTTTGTTCTTGGGATTTTTTTTGAAGACCAACATTTTCTAATTCCTCTGACTAGTATCCTTGGAAATGAACTCTGCTTTTGCTTTTCTGAATTTTTTTTTTTTTTTTTTTTTAAACAGAGTCTCACTCTGTTGTCCAGGCTGGAGTGAATCATAGCTTACTGCAGCCTCAATCCCCAGAGCTCAAGCAGTTCTCCTGCCTCAACCTCCCAAGTAGCTGGGACTAACAGGCACATGCCACTATACCTGGCTAATTTTTGTATCTTTTGTAGAGATGGGGTGTCACCATGTTGCCCAGGCTGGTCTCAGACTCTTGGGCTCAAGTGACCCATCCACTTTGGCCTACCAAAGTGTTGAGATTACAGGCATGAGCCACCACACCCAGCCTCTGAAACAGTCTTTATCTCACCCTTACTCTTGAATGATAGTGTGATTGATAGATTTTTCCTTCAGCACTTTGAAAGTAGCCTTCTATTACCTTTGGTTTTCCAGTTTTTCTGCTAAGTGATCTGTTGTAATAATTTTTGTCATTCACTGGTGGTTTGTCTTCTCCCTGCTTGCCTTTAAAACCACCTATCGGCTGGACGTGGTAGCTCACGCCTGTAATCCCAGCACTTTGGGAGGTCAAGACGGGCAGATCACAAGATCAGGAGATCCGAGACCATCCTGGCTACTAACATGGTGAAACCCTGTCTCTACTAAAAGTACAAAAAATTAGCAGCTAATTTTTGTATTTTTAGTAAAGATGGGGTTTCACCTTGTTAGCCAGGATGGTCTCAATCTCCTGACCTCGTGATACACCCGCCTCGGCCTCCCAAAGTGCTAGGATTACAGGTGTGAGCCACCACGCCTGGCCAGTGTTTTCACGACATTTCTATTTTCCCTTCATATAGTACATCTTTGATTACTTTGCCCATTTTTTTCTTTTTTTGTACTGTTCTCTAAGAATCCTCTATAGCTCTTCGGCAGTAATTCTTTCTGCATTTAAATCTTATTTTCTCTCTATCTGCCACTTGCATTTTGTCTCTTATTGTGTCTTTTTTTTTTTTTTTTTTTTTTTTGAGACAGAGTCTTGCTCTGTCGCCCAGGCTGGAGTGCAGTGGCGCAGTCTCGGCTCATTGCAAGATCCGCCTCCCGGGTTCACGCCATTCTCCTGCCTCAGCCTCCTGAGTAGCTGGGGCTACAGGCGCCCACCGCCACGCCCGGCTAGTTTTTTGTATTTTTTAGTAGAGATGGGGTTCACCTTGTTAGCCAGGATGATCTGGATCTCCTGACCTCGTGATCCACCCGCCTCGGCCTCCCAGAGTGCTGGGATTACAGGCGTGAGCCACCGTGCCCAGCCTTATTTTGTCTTTTATTGGACGGAAAATTTGAATGCTGATATCAGACTTGTTATTCCTTGTCTGTTTTTTATTTTTTGGTTTTTGTTTTTTGTTTTTAAGACACAGTCTCTTTTGCCCAATCTGGAATGCAGTGGCACAATTACAGCTCACTGCAACCTCAGCCTTCTGTGTGGGCTCAAGTGGTAACTCCCACCTCAGCCTCCCAGAGTGCTAGGATTACAGGCATGACCCCCAATGCTTGACCATATGGTTTTTTGGTTAAGCTTTGTTGATCAAAGTCTGTCACACTTATGGCGGCATACTGCATCATTTAAACTTTGACTTTCTGTTGCAGCCGGTATCATTCTGAAATTTAAATACATGCACACACATATATATACACATATACAAGTATATATATTTAAATTGCCTAGAATGTAGATATATATGTATGTGTGTATTCTGAGGCAAGGGTCTATTTTCATTTTACCTTTAGAAAGAAGGCTGGGCACAGTGGCTTATGCCTGTATTTGCAGCATTTTGGGAGGCCGAGGTGGGATAATTGCTTGAAGTTTTTGTGATTGAGGCTTCAGTGAACCAAGATTACACCACTACACTTCAGCCTGGATGACAGAGCAAGACCCCATCCCACCGAATGAATGAACAAATGAATGAATGGACAACCATTTGTCTTAATATTGTGAAGTCTGGGCCGGGCGCGGTGGCTCAAGCCTGTAATACCAGCACTTTGGGAGGCCAAGACGGGCGGATCACGAGGTCAGGAGATGGAGACCATCCTGGCTAACACAGTGAAACCCCGTCTCTACTAAAAATACGAAAAACTAGCCGGGCGAGGTGGCGGGCGCCTGTAGTCCCAGCTACTCGGGAGGCTGAGGCAGGAGAATGGCGTGAACCCGGGAGGCGGAGCTTGCAGTGAGCTGAGATCCGGCCACTGTACTCCAGCCTGGGCGACAGAGCGAGACTCCGTCTCAAAAAAAAAAAAAAAAAAAAAAAAAAATGGCCAGGCGCGGTGGCTCACGCGTGTAATCCCAGCACTTTGGGAGGCCGAGGCGAGTGGATCACAAGGTCAGGAGATCGAGACCATGGTGAAACCCCGTCTCTACTAAAAATAGAAAAAATTGCCGGGCGCGGTGGCGGGCGCCTGTAGTCCCAGCTACTCAGGAGGCTGAGGCAGGAGAATGGCGGAAACCCAGGAGGTGGAGCTTGCAGTGAGCCGAGATCGCGCCACTGCACTCCAGCCTGGGCGACAGACCGAGACTCCGTCTCAAAAAAAAAAAAAAAAAAAAAAAAAAGTATTGTGAAGTCTGAGTGGACAAGGGATGGTGACAGGAAGATTGATATGCATGAAGACACATGCAGCCATTTACAGAATGCCCTTCATCCCCTAGCCTTGGAGACTGCTTCATACATGATCCAGTTGTTTTTTGTTTGTTTTTGTTTGTTTGTTTGTTTTTGAGATGGAGTCTCACTCTGTCACCTCACCTCCCTGGTGATCCACCTCCCTCAGCCTCCCAGAGTGCTGGGATTACAGGCGTGAGTCACCGCACCTGGCTGACATGATCCATTTTTTATAACAACCCTGCAGGGCAGTCATTGACAGTTTTTGTTTTGTTTTGTTTTTTTTTTTTTTTTTTTTTTTTTCTTCTTTTTTCTTTTTTTTTTTGAGACGGAGTCTCGCTCTGTGCCAGCTGGGTGCAGGCCGATCCGCCACTGCAGCTCCTCCCTTCACCCTCCTGCCGCCCCGAGGCTCCGCGCCCCCCCCAGTTTTGTATTTTTGAGGGGTTCAGTGAGGATGGTCTCACTGACCTGGATCGCTCCAGGCTGGGTTGGAGGGCTGTTTTTTTTTTTTAGATGGGTTACTCTGTCGCCAGGTGGAGTGTAGTGGTACGACCTCAGCTCACTGCAACCTCCGCCTACCAGGTTGAAGCAATTCTTCTGCCTCAGCCTGCAGAGTAGCTGGAACTACAGGCATGTGCCTCCATGCCTGGCTAATTTTTTTGTATTTTTAGTAGAGACGGTGTTTCACCATGTTGGTCAGGCTGGTCTCGAACTCCTGACCTCAAATGATCCACCTGCCTCGGCTTCCCAAAATGCTGGGATTACAGGCGTGAACCACTGTGCCCCACTAGGTCATTGACAGTTCTAAGACTTAGACCCAGAACTTTTAGGTCACCAAGCCTGTGCTTTGTCCTATCCATGAATGCAGAACTCTGATCACAGAGCTGGGGTGAGAACTGCTACTTCAGTGCTGTTGTAAGCTCATTGTGAAGTCAGAGCTTTGGAAATGTGTATTGATGGGCAGTGTATGACAGGGACAAGAATGCAGTTGCTGGGATGGAATTCTAGGGGGAGCAGGGATGCTTGGCCTCTGGTCTCCCACATCTCAAACTAATCCTTTTGGTGATGATTTATCCCCAGGACCCTTCCTCCTGCCCGCTCTCTAGGAAGATGAAAATGCTACATGGCTCTTTTGAAATGTGTTCTTGGTTCCATTCCTTGGCTATCATTTTACCTCTTCCATGTATACATTTGAATTTAAAAGAGAAAACAAGTAAAAAAAAAAATCTTCACACCTAGCCCATCATCATTGTCTGTTTCTCTTACAGATAGAGCTTCATGTACCTAAGCCTGCATTTTTCTTTTTGCAGTTTGGGATATGAGATTGAAAATGACAACTCGGAATATTCCTGAGAGAGAAGTACCCTGTGATGTAGAAATGGAAGGATTCACAAGGGAAGCTCCCTGCTTGTCCATTTTAGGTGATGGTTGGGACTGTGAGAACCAGGAGGGAGACTTGAGTCAATCAGCTTTAACTCTGGAGAAACCAGGGACTCAGGAAGCAATTTGTGAATATCCTGGTTTTGGGGAGCATTTGATTGCAAGCTCAGACCTTCCACCATCTCAGAGAGTTCTGGCAACCAATGGTTTCCATGCACATGACTCAAATGTTAGTGGTCTGGATTGTGACCCTGCCTTACCCAGCTGTCCTAAAAGTTATGCAGCTAAGAGAACTGGTGACAGTGATGCCTGTGGAAAAACCTTCAACCATTCCATGGAAGTTATTCATGGAAGAAATCCAGTGAGAGAGAAGCCCTACAAATATCCTGAAAGTGTTAAGTCTTTTAATCATTTTACCTCTCTTGGTCATCAAAAAATAACGAAAAGAGGCAAGAAACTGTATGAAGGTAAGAATTTTGAGGACATCTTGACCCTGAGCTCATCGCTTAATGAAAACCAGAGAAATCTCCCTGGAGAGAAACAGTATAGATGTACTGAATGTGGCAAATGCTTCAAACGGAACTCTTCTCTTGTTTTGCATCACCGAACTCACACCGGAGAGAAGCCTTATACTTGTAATGAGTGTGGAAAGTCCTTCTCCAAGAACTACAACCTGATTGTGCATCAAAGGATCCACACAGGAGAGAAGCCCTATAAATGTAGTAAGTGTGGGAAAGCTTTCAGTGATGGGTCAGCTCTGACGCAGCACCAGAGAATTCACACAGGCGAGAAACCTTACGAATGCCTGGAATGTGGAAAAACCTTCAACCGAAATTCATCCTTAATTTTGCACCAAAGAACTCATACAGGGGAAAAACCATACAGATGTAACGAGTGCGGAAAACCCTTCACGGACATCTCCCACCTTACAGTGCATCTCAGAATCCACACCGGTGAGAAGCCCTATGAGTGTAGCAAATGTGGAAAGGCTTTCCGGGACGGCTCGTACCTCACCCAGCACGAGAGGACTCACACTGGAGAAAAGCCCTTTGAGTGTGCAGAGTGTGGGAAATCCTTCAACAGAAACTCTCACCTCATTGTGCATCAAAAGATCCATTCTGGGGAGAAACCCTATGAATGTAAAGAATGTGGCAAGACTTTCATCGAGAGTGCATACCTCATCCGGCACCAGAGGATTCATACTGGCGAGAAGCCCTATGGCTGCAACCAGTGTCAGAAACTTTTCAGGAATATCGCTGGCCTCATTAGGCACCAGAGGACTCATACTGGTGAGAAGCCCTATGAGTGTAATCAGTGTGGCAAAGCCTTCAGGGACAGCTCCTGTCTGACCAAGCACCAGAGAATTCACACTAAGGAAACCCCGTATCAGTGTCCAGAATGTGGGAAGTCCTTCAAGCAGAACTCTCACCTGGCAGTACATCAGAGACTCCATAGCAGGGAGGGTCCCAGCCAGTGTCCTCAGTGTGGAAAAACGTTCCGAAAGAGCTCATCCCTTGTTCGACATCAAAGAGCACACCTGGGAGAGCAACCCATGGAAACATAATAGTTTGGGGCCACATGAGTCTTCCAGTTAGCGCTCATGCCTGTGTTTAGGAGGCGTGTCTTACATCTGACTCCTCTCTGGTCAGTAGAAAAGAATCCTTTAAGCTAACCAGTGAATTGATGAATGTGAGACATTGCTGAGCCACACTGTTAAGTCTGCTCATTGGGGAACTCAGGAGACACCTTAGGATGGTAGTAAATGCAGAAAAGTCTTTGGGGATGATTTAGTCTGTACCAGACAGGACAGCACACACACTGGAATGAAACGTGCAAACATGGGGGTGACACTTCCTACAGAGAGAGCCTGTGAATGCATTCAGAACATGATTGGAATGAAGAGCCCTGTAGTAGGGAGTTTCCACCTTGTACATAAGCAAACACTGAATCAACTTTTTTTTTTTTTTTTCTAGATGGAGTCTAGCTGTGTCACCCAGGATGAAGTGCAGTGGCACGATCTCCACTCACAGCAACCTCTGCCTCCCAGGTTCAAGCAGTTCTCCTGCCTCAGCCTCCCACGTGGCTAGGATTACAGGTGCCTGCCACTATGCCTGGCTAATTTTTTGTATATTTAGTAGAGACAGGGTTTCACTATGTTGGCCAGGCTGGTCTTGAACTCCTGACCTCATGATCCGCCCACCTCAGCCTCCCAAAGCACTGGGATTACAGGCGTGAGACACGGTGCCCGGCCTGAATCAACCTTTTTAAGTGTAATCAGAAAGAGAGGCTTTGGCAGGGGCTCTTACTCTGTTTTCTGTATCAACAAAGGTGTACAATGAGAGAGTCCACACAGTGCTGTACCGTACACTGCCACAGAATGTGTGAGATTTTCCTGTTTAAATGTATGTCTGCATTATACTTCTGCAATAATGCTGAGGACTTGTTGCAGGAGGGTAAACTAGGTGAATAAATTACCTGTGAATGAACAATGAAGTCGTTCCTCTTAAGACTGAAACAAGCAGGCCGGGTGTGGTGGCTCATGCCTGTGATCCCAGCACTTTGGGAGGCGGAGGCGGCTGGATCACGAGGTTAGGAGTTGAAGACCAGCCTGGCCAGCGTAGTGAAACCCCATCTCTACCAAAAATACAGAAAATTAGCTGGGCATAGTGGTGTGTGCCTGTAATCCCAGCTACTTGGGAAGCTGAGGCAGGAGAATTGCTTGAACCTGGGAGGCGGAGGTTGCAGTGAGCTAAGCGCACCACTACACTCCAGCCTGGGTGACAGAGCGAGACTCCATCTCAAGAGAGAAAAAAAAAGACTGAAACAAGCTTTTGCTAAGATGGAAAGCACTGCTTCCAACAGATGTGGTTTGTTGCTTTAGTTGTTGAAGCAAAAATACTGACTTGTTATGTTTTTGTTATCACCCCACCACTACCTCCATGGTTGTTCATTTAGGATGCTTCTGATTCAGCCACTGTAAACCATTATAAAGGTTTTATTGCCATGTTGAAAATGTTTATAATATGGCAAAAAGGGGCATAACATAAAAGATTTACTATTATTACAGCCATGTAAAGATATGTGCACATACGGATGTGGGTTGAAAGTGGATGATGAGAAATAAAATGTGGTTTTCTTTGGGGACTGGAATTTTGTATCATGTTTTTTCTCTGTTACAGATACTTGTTGGCATAATAATTTGGTAATAAATTAAAAACTGAAGCCAAAAGGAGGTTAATTTGGGGTTTCTCTGGACCTTTAGTAGTAAGGACTGGATCAGGACAACAGGGAAGCTGTAAGTGTGGATGAAGGGGCATTGGGCAGTAGTGTCTCTGGAATCGGCATCCCAAAGCCCAGGGCATGAGAATAACTTCCTTCTTTGGGACTTGGGTTATAAGGGGGTGTCAGTGTAGAAGAGAGAGTGAGTCTCAGAGAATGGAGAACAGGAAGCCTGTAGGAAAATTTGGGATGACTTTGGAGTGGCCCTTCTGAGGCAGTGCAGTGCTGGCCGAGTAAAAGCCAGTCAGTGTGGCTGACACAGCCTTGAAGCCCCATGAGGGGATCCCCTTGGGATTTTGCCTCTAGACAATTTCCTCTCCTGGGGGAAGGGACAGGTGTGATGATAGTGAAGATTAGTGATGAGTCAGTCCAGGACTGGTGTCTGCCAGGCCCATTGTATTAGCTGGATCAAGGTTCATGTGTGTGTGACGTGGCATCTCCATGGTGCTGGTATTCTGAGGTCTGGGCCCTCAGGCCAGTCAGTGCTTCAAGCACCCATGCCTCCTTCCATGTGTGTCTTCTCTTTTGTCCGATATCAGCTGTGGCCTCCATGGCACTTGCTCTCTCCTATGAGGCAGCCAACCTTGGTAGGCCTCTGTTAGCTGTGTCATGGGGAGGGTGGGCAGCCAGTCCTGAGAGAGGAATGAGTAGGTAGGTAATGGAGGCATAGAGTGGAGAAGGGAAGAGTGGCCCTGAAAGAGCATTTGGAGAAATAAAGGCCCCCACACACATTCGGATATGGTGATCTCATGGTGGGACGTGCGTGAGCACGGAGGACCAGCAGGGACCCTGGTTGAACCCTCTGGAGTCAGGATGGGGTGGTGCTGTGTCCCAGGGTGTGCTGATGGATGAAAGGGGACCAGGCTGACTTGTGTTCTCCAGAGAGTTGCATTTAAGTATAGCCAACCTACAGAAAATTGCACTGCAGACTCTCCTTGACCCAACTTAAATCAGGATCCCCTGAGCCCTCTGACCTTGGGCTTCTCCCTTTCCTTGTAGGATCCAGGGAAGATGTTTGAATGGGCACAGTGGCTCACACCTGTAATTTCACCACTTCGGGAGGCTGACGCAGGAGGATTGCTTGAGCCTAGGAGTTCAAGACCAGCCTGGGCAACATAGCAGGACCCTCATCTCTGCAAATAATAATGTAAAAATTAGCCAGGTGTGATGGCATGTGCGTTAAGTTACAGCTTCTCAGGAGGGAGAGTCAGGAAGAAGGCAGAAGAATCTCTTAAGCCTGGGAGTTGGAGGCTACAGTGAGCTGTGATCACACCGCGGTACTGTGGACTGGATAATGGAGTAAGACCCTGTCTCAAAACAGAATCTGATATGGTTTGGCTCTGTGTCCCCACCCAAATCTCATGTCGAATTGTAATTCCCACTGTTAGGGGAGGGACCTGGTAGGAGATGAATGGATCATGGGGGCAGATTTCCTCCTTGCTGTTCTCATGATAGTGAGTTCCCATGAGACCTGCTTGTTTAAACGTGTGTAGCACTTCCTTCTTCATTCACCCTCTTTCCTGCTCTGCCATGGTAAGACATGCTTACTTCTTCACCTTCTGCCATGATTGTAAGTTTCCTGAGGCCTCCCAGCCATGCTTCATGTACAGCCTGTGGAATTGTGAGTCAATAAAACCTATTTTCTTCATAAATTACCCAGTCTTAGGTAGTTCCTTACAGCAGTGTGAGAATGGACTAATACAGAAAGTTGGTAACAGGAGTGGGGCACTGCTATAAAGATACCTGAAGCTACTTTGGAGTTGGGTAATGGGCAGAGGTTGGAACAGTTTGAAGGAATCAGAAGAAGACAGGAAGTTGAGGGAAAGTGTGGAACCTCCTAGAGACTTAAATGGTTGTGACCAAAATGCTAATAATATGGACAGGGAAGTCTGGGCTGCAGTAGTCTCGGATGGAGATGAGGAACTTATTGGTAACTGGAGTAAAGGTCACTCTCACTGTGCTTTAGCAAAAAGACTGGCAGCATTGTGCTCCTGCTCTAGAGATCTGTAAGAGACAGAACTTGAGCTTGAGAGATTATTTAGTGTCTGGCAGAATAAATTTCTAAGCAGCACAGTGTTGGAGAGGTCACCTGGCTGCTTCTAAAAGTCTGCGCTCAATTGCATAATCAAAGAAATGACCTAAAACTATAACTTATATTAACTGGAAGCAGAGCATGAACATTTGAAAATTTGCTGCCCATTTTCCGGCAGGAATCAAAGGCTGCAGAAATGTACATAAGTAAAGAAGAGCTGAATGTTAATAGCCAAGACAATGAGGAAAATGCCTGCAGGGCGTTTCAGAGACTTTCACAGCAGCCCCTCCCATCACAAGCCTAGAGACCTAGGAGAGAAAAATGGTTTTGTGGACCAGGGTCCAGGGCCCCACTGTTCTGTGCATCCTCAAGACTTGGCACCCTGCATCTCAGCTGCTTCAGTTCTAACTGTGGCTAAAAGGGGCCAATGTACAGCTTGGTTCCCACCCCTTGCATCAGTGTGACCTGGATGTGAGACATGGAGTCAAAGAAGATTATTTTGGAGCTTTAAGATTTAATGACTGCCCTGCTGGTATTCAGACTTGCATAGGACCTGTAGCCCCTTTGTTTTGACCAATTTCTCCCTTTTGGAATAGGGGAATTTACCCAATGCCTGTACTCTCCATTGTACCTCAGAAGTAACTCAGTTGCTTTTAATTTTACAGACTCATAGGTGAAAGGGACTTGCCTTGTCTCAGATGAATCTTTGGACTTGCACTTTTGAGTTAATGCTGGCATGAGTTAAAACTTTGGGGGACTCTTGGGAAGGCATGATTACATTTTGCAGTAAGAGAAGAATATGAGATTTGGGGGTGGGACAGGGATAGAATGATATGGGTTAGCTCTGTGTTTCTGCCAAAATCTTATGTCGAATTGTAATTTCCAGTGTTGGGGGACAGACCTGGTGGGAGGTGATTGGATCATGGAGGCGGATTTCCCCTTTTGCTGTTCTCATGATAGTGAGTGTGTCTTCATGAAACCTGGTTGTTTAAAAGTGTGTAGCACTCCCCACTCCACTCGCTCTGCCGCAGTAAGGCGTGCTTTCTTCCCCACCCTCTGTGATGATTGTAAGTTTCTTGAGGCCTTCCTGCCATGCTTCCTGTACAGCCTGTGGAACTGTGAGTCAATGAAACCTCTTTTCTTCATGAATTACCCAGTCTCAGGTAGTCCTTTATAGCAGTGTGAGAATGGACTAATACATAATCCTACTAAGTCATGTTAGTAGGGATGGGAAAAAATCTTCCCCTTCCTCTTGATATCTGATCAAATTCCTTGTCCCCCACCTTCAATGTCTTCTTCCCTTGGCCTGCCTTCAGGAAAACTTCTCTTGAGTTGGTCTGGCAAGAATTCACCCCTTATCTCTGAGGGTTTGCACTTGATAATTTTTCATCCTCCAGATACCCTGCTGCTTCTCGGCTTTAAGCCTTCACTTGTTCTTGTCCAAGCTGGAGTTGAGTCTGGCCTCCCAAGCCCCTCTGTAGTAGCTTACGGAATAAAGCCTGCCTCACCATGTGTTTGTATGAATGGAATTAGATGCCTGCCTGTTGCACAACATTGTGTAGGTTAGACTCATCCATGTTGCTGCAGGCAGCTGTGGATCCTTCTCTGTGCTGTGTAATATTCCATGGTGTGGGCAGACTTGAACATATGGATGTATTCACTGTGAGCAGTGGTTCTCATCCAGGGGCAATTTTGCCCCCAGGGGACATATGGAGACATCTGAGTGGTCATAATGAAGGGTGGTGTCTGGCAGGTGGAGGCTGGGGCTGCAAGGCTCACAATGGCCCCCACAGCAGAGTTATCCAGCCCAGGTGTGAGCTGTGCCAAGGCTAAAGTGTGTATGTTTCTTGTTCATACTTTCAAAAGAATGAACCCCATTATTGGGGGGGGAAGTCTCACATTCCCAGCATATGTATAGTTATAAGTTACAGATTTGTGTGTCTGTAGAAATGTGTGTATCATAAGACACAAGTTCCTAGTGGACTGTCAGGAACACCCGGGCTGGGCACTTCACTTTGGTGTCTGCAGCTCTCAAGTAAAATATGCAGGGATTGCAGTGTTAGTGTCAGCAGCATCTCCACCTCTTGGTTCCACCTTTCAGATTCTGGGATGGACTCATCCCCTGACCAGTTGTGGTCAGAGAGTAAGCATCCTGAAGAAGTGGTGTCAACTATGATACTGGTATGAGCCTCATGGTTTTGTGTGAATTGTATTCCTCTTGATCTTTAGTGAAAAAAATTTCCTAGCCTGGGCACTGTGGCTCACACTGTGGCCCAGCACTTCAGGAGGCTGAGGTGGGAGGATCACTTGAGTCCAGGAGTTCGGGACCAGCCTGGGCAACAGACAGAGACCCTAACTCTACAAAATGAAATAATAAAAAACAAAAATTTCTTAAATTAGCAGGAATCACTGCTGTAATGAACATATAGTAGTCCTCCCCACCAAATCCAAGGGGGATACATTCCAGTACCATGGTGGATGCCTAAAACCTCATATGACACCAAACCGTATATACAGTTGTCCCTCCATATTTGTGGGGGATTGATTCCAAAACTGCCCTCAGACACCAAATCAGATGATGCTCAAGTCCCTGATATAAGATGGTGTGTATTTGCATATAACCTACATACATCTTCCAGTGTACTTTAAGTAATGTCTAGGCCAGGCACAGTGGCTCATGCCTGTAATCCCAACACTTTGGGAGGCCAAGGCAGGCAGATCACCTGAGGTCAGGAGTTCGAGACTAGCCTGGCCAACATGGCAAAACCCCGTCTCTACTAAAAATACAAAAATTAGCTGGGTGTGGTAGCGTGCACCTGTAATCCCAGCTACTAGAGAGGCTGAGGGAGGAGAATCACTTGAACACGGGAGGTGGAGGTGGAGGTTGCAGTGAGCCAAGATCACGCCACTGCACTCCATTCTGGGAGACAGAGTAAGACTCCATCTCCAAAAAAAAAATAGTCTAGATTACTTGTGTTCCCTAATACAATGTAAATACTTTGTAATTTTTATACTGTATTGTTTAGGAGGTGATGATGAGGGAAAAAGTCTGCACACGCTCAGTACAGATGCAGTGTTTTTTCAAATACTTTCAGTCCAAAGTTGGTTGACTATACAAATGTGAAACCCATGCATATGGAGGGCTAACTGTATACTGTTTTTTCTTTTTCTTTTTTTTTTGAGATGGAGCCTCGCTCTGTCGCCCAGGCTGGAGTGCAGTGGCCGGATCTCAGCTCACTGCAAGCTCCGCCTCCCGGGTTTACGCCATTCTCCTGCCTCAGCCTCCCCAGTAGCTGGGACTACAGGCGCCCGCCACCTCGCCCGACTAGTTTTTTTATATTTTTTAGTAGAGACGGGGTTTCACCGTGTTAGCCAGGATGGTCTCGATCTCCTGACCTCGTGATCCGCCCGTCTCGGCCTCCCAAAGTGCTGGTATTACAGGCTTGAGCCACCGCGCCCGGCCACTGTTTTTTCTTATACTTACCTATGATGAGGTTTAATTTATAAAATAATTTTTAAAGTAAGGGTTACTTGAACACAAGTACTGTGATACCATGATGGTTGATCTAATAACCAAGGTGGCTCTTAAAAGTGACTGATGGCGGGTAAACAGTGTGGACACACTGGACAAATGCCTGGTTCCCATCCTGGGCGGGATGGTGTGGTACAGCCTGGAATTTCATCATGCTCCTCAGAACAGTGTGCAATGTGAAACTTATGAATTGTTTATTTCTGGATTTTCCATTTAAAATTTTCAGACCACAGTTGACCTTGGGTAACAAAGGTGGAGAAGTGAAACTGCCAATCAGGAGAGGCTACTGTAATTCAATCACAGAGGATAGAAACTCCTGACCAAAGAGGATATGAGATGTGGACTAGGTGAGTTCCAGATGGATTCTGGGGTAGCCTGGGCCATTGCAAGTGTGGCTGAAATGAGTGGGACACAGGATAGAGAAGAAGGTATCCTGGATTTATGTGGATGGTCCCAATCTAGCACACATGCCCTTAAAAGCAGAGATTACAGGCTGGAGTCAGATGCTGAGGAAGGAGCAAGTAGAGAGCTGAAGTGTGAGGACTCTACTCCCTGTTCCTGGCTTTAAAACTGGAAAGGGGCCGGGCACAGTGGCTCACAACTGTAATCCCAGCACTTTGGGAGGCCAAGGTGGATGGATCATGTGAGGTCAGGAGTTTGAGACCAGCCTGGCCAACATGGCAAAACCCATTTCTACTAAAAATATAAAAATTAACTGGGCATGATGTCATGCACCTATAATCCCAATTGCTTGGGAGGCTGAGGCAGGAGAATTGCTTGAACCTGGGAGGCAGAGGTTGCAGTGAGCCAAGATCGTACCACTGCACTCCAGCCTGGGCAAACAGAGCAAGACTCTGTCTCAAAAAAAAAAAAAAAAAAACACACACACACACACAAAAACAAAACAAAACAAAACAAAAACTTGTGTGCGGCCGGGCGCGGTGGCTCAAGCCTGTAATCCCAGCACTTTGGGAGGCCGAGACGGGCGGATCACGAGGTCAGGAGATCGAGAGACCATCCCGGCTAACACGGTGAAACCCCGTCTCTACTAAAAAATACAAAAAACTAGCCGGGCGAGGTGGCGGGCGCCTGTAGTCCCAGCTACTCGGGAGGCTGAGGCAGGAGAATGGCGTAAACCCGGGAGGCGGAGCTTGCAGTGAGCTGAGATCCGGCCACTGCACTCCAGCCTGGGTGACAGAGCAAGACTCCGTCTCAAAAACAAAAACAAAAACAAAAACTTGTGTTCATCAGAAAGCAATATTATGCAAGTGAAAGAAGGGCAAGTGACAGAGTGGGAGAAGACCGTTGTAGAGCCAACAAAGGACTGGCCTCCAAATATATAAAGAACTCAGCATCTCAATAAGAATGAAACTTAATAGAAAAGTTGGCAAATGACTTGAACCAGCCCCCTCATAAACAAGGAAAAGTCCAAATGGCCAATAAGTGCATGCAAATGTGCCCAACTTTACCACTCATCAGAGAAACCACACTAATGGCTAAAATGAAAATAACAGTACCAAGTGTTGACAAGAATGTGCAGCAACTGGGAATCTTATACACCACTGTAGGGGGCACTGTAAACTAGCGTTATCTCCTAACCTGAACATCTGCACCCATGAAGAGACAGCTGCAGTCCTACGCATTCACCCAACAGAAATACAAACCTGCTTATCAAAAGATACACACACAATGTTCATAGCAGTTTCCTTTGTATTAACTCCCAACTGGAAACAGCCCAAATATCCATTGACAGGAAGGAAAATGAGCAAATGGTGTATTCACAGTGGAACATTTTATATGATCACATAAAATGATTATTGTGCCCTGGAGGATTACACAACCAAGTGAAGTGGTTATTGCACCATGGAAGATTACACAACCACATGAAAGGGTTATTGTGCCATGGAGTATTACACAGCCTTGTAAAGTGGATATTGTGCCATAGAGTGTTACGCAATGGCGTAAAGTGGTTGTTCTGGCACGGAACGTTATGCATGGCAATGGGTTATTGTGCCATGGAGAGTTACACAACCGCATGAAGAGGTTATGGTGCCATGGAGTCTTACATAACCGCGTAGAGGGGCTATTGTGTCGTGGAGTCTTATACAGCGTGTAAATGGGTTATTTTCGATGCAGCATCACACAACCGAGTAAAATGGTTATTGTGCACGGAGCGTTAAACGACCGCATGAAGGTGTCAATGTCCATTGGGTCATTCCACACCCCAGTAGAGAAGTGACTCCAGGCCCCAGTCCCCTACGCCGTGAGAGGAAGGAGACACAGCAGCCTACGAATGGGACCCGTGTGAACGAGATTCTGCTGCGACCACGCGCGACCAGGGTGGTGCAGGCTCGCAAGGGGATGTAGGGCTGGTCAATCTGAGAGACAAGGTGCTCGTCCGCGGCGGCTCAAGGGCAGTCCACAGGCGCTCCCGGCGTTTTTTCGTCTGTTAAACCTCACCTACCAGCAGAGGCGAAGGGCAAAGGACCCTGAAAGGTAACAGTGCGCGCGCTCCCAGGTTCTGGCTGCCAGGCAGCTGCGGACACGGCCCTGCCCCCCCGCCCCCGACACACTAGGCTTCGCCCCCAGTGTCCGGTGTCGCCGGAAATGTCGCATCCGGGAACTCTGCGCGCCCATGCGCAGAGCCCGAGAGCGCGCCGAGGCTCGGTGCGCCGAGGTGGACGCTGCGGCCGCGGGAAGTGAATTCTGTCCTCTCGCGGCCTCTCGGGTCTCAGTTTCCTCCATTCCCGCCCACCGGTCGCGGAGCCGAGACCTAGTGAAGGTGGCGTCAAGGACTCCAGAGCGGCTGGGGCTGGGCCGTGGCTGCGTGGCTGCTCTTTCTGTCTGGGAGGGTACGCGGCAGCCCTGCTCTGGGCAGGGACTTGTTAGGGGCGCCGGCTTGTGGTTCCGGGCGGGGCGGGCGTGAGGAACTGTCTCCGTCAGGCGCGGACCCTCCCGCGTGTCTTCTCCCCTTGGGCCTCGGGCGTTCTACGCGCATCTCCTCGCCGGGCGCGAACCCCTTAACGCCTCTCCCCGCAGGGCGCGAGCCCCCTACTCCCTCCTCTTCATGGGGCGTGGGCCCCCTATCCCTTTCTCCCCAGTGGGATGCAAACCCCGAATCTCCTCCCCTCTCCGCGTGGAGTGCGGACCCTCTAATTCCCTCTCCTGGTGGGCGCAGACCACCTATTCTCTCCGTTTGGGGCGGGGACTCATTTCTCTTCCTCTCCCCTCCCACTGGAGCGGATCCCTTTTTTTTTCTCCCTTCCCTTAACCCCGGACTCACCAGTATTCTTTTTTTTTTTTTTTCCCTGCAGGCACAGATGGCCTTTTCTAATCTTCCCAGGGTGTGGACCCCTCGTCTCTTCCTGCACAGGTGCGGACGCCCCTCCCTTCTCCCTCTCCTCTCCTCACAAGATTTGGACTTGAACAACCTATTCTGCTTCCCGTGTCTTACTCCCTAGGACGTTTTCCCCATTTTTCATCCTACTGTCCCTGACAACCCTGTTCTTCCTCCTTTTCCTTCCCCCAAGAGATGGCTTCCTCCTCTGCCCCTTTAGGGTTGGTGCGGATGCTTCCTTCCCCTTTCTACCCACTGTGAACATTCCCTGCCAGGCTTCCTCCCTTCCCTGCTGGGTTCTGACTCCACTGACTTGCCCTTCCTCGCTTCCCTGCGGTTGTATACTGGGCTGGCCTCTCCACAAACCTCTGATGCCCGAATGCTGATCCCCAGGGACAGGCCTCTCAGACTTTGGTATCCTCAGCTGAGCATCTGCTCTCCCTCAAACTCAGTCTTTCTAGTCTCCGTAAGGAGTGACTCCTTCCACCCACAATCCTCTTCGTCCACCTGGGTATTTCTCTTTTCCCCAATCCCCACATCGTCTCTGTCCAAAATGCCATGCCTTAACCTTTAAGATATTTCCAGAATTCAGTTAGCTGGGCATTTTACAATGACATAAATAAAAATTCAAAAGTAGTATCAGAGGATCTCACATTTAGTAAGCATAGTTTCATCAAACTTTTGTTCCAGTTAGATATGTATGCAGGTCATCATGTACATGTGTTTCTTTCAACGCTTGTGTGAAAATTTTGAAAACCTCCAGGCTAGAGAAACCCGTACAAGGATACACATTCAACATGTCTCCTAAAGCATGCACTTATAATCCCAGCTGCTCGGGAGGCTGAGGCAGGAGGATCGCTTGAACCTGGGAGGTGGAGGTTGCAGTGAGCCAAGATCGTGCCACTGTACTCCAGCACTGACAGAGCGAGACTCTGTCTCAAAATAAATAAATAAAATAAATAAATAAATAAATAACATAACATAACATAATTCCAGAATTCAGCCACATCACCACACCTCTTCTCCCTGGTACAGGTATCTTCTTGCTCCCCTGCCTCTGGCCTCCTCACGATTCAGTGGAAGCCTGTCAGGTCATATCTGTCCTCTAAACACTCTCCTTACTCAGTGACAGGCAGAATCCTCACATGCCCTAGGACTGGGGCTGCCGGGCTAAGGACTGTTTGCTGCTGGGTTGTAGGTGATGATAGAGCTTGCATCAGAGTGAATTTCCGTGCCCTAGCTTCTTCCTTGGGCAGTTCATTCTCTGAGGTTGCTTGGTTTTTGGGTTGTAGGCAGTGGATAGAGATTGGGACGGTCTGGGGCTCTAACTCAGAAACTGGATTGCTGGTCTGTGTGCTTCCTCAGTTTGCAGAGAGTGAGCATTTGATAGTGACAAGATTCTGCAGTTCTTTGCCTATTCCCATACTAGAATGCCTACTCTGAGGTTGAGGTCTTCATCTGTCTGATCCACTGCTGAATTATTGGTGCCTAGAACAGGGCCTGGCATACAGGACGTGTTCAGTAAATATTTGCAGAATGAAAGAAAAAGGGCCATCCCTGTGATTACAGGAAGCTGGCCCTTTTCCCACAGACTTAAGATCACAGAGGAGGTGTGTGATGCATCCACTGCACATCTATCTAGTGTGCCCAGGCCATTTTTTTGTTTTTTTAGAGCATTTTCCTTTGTAATACCAGTGCCTCAGGCAATATGGAGTATGGGGTGTTTGTGTGTGCTTGCGTGCATATGTTTGAAATTGGCATGCTTTCCGTGTTATGAAACTTTGCAACCTGCTTCTCTCCCCAACCTTGTACTAGGTGAAGCTTTCAGCACACCGGCTTTCATTGCTCTATAGTATCCTACCTTGTGAAAATGCCACAGTTTTTTGTTTGTTTGTTTGTTTTTGCCTTTCCTGTTGATGAACATCTTGGAAATTTCCAGGTTTTCAGCGTTTCCACCAGTGCTTTAGGGGACATGTTGAATGTGTATCCTTGTAAGGGTTTCTCTATCCTGGAGGTTTTCAAAATTTTCACACAAGCGTTGAGAGAAACACATGTACATGATGACTTGCATACATATCTAACTGGAACAAAAGTTTGATGAAACCATGCTTACTAAATGTGAGATCCTCTGATACTACTTTTGAATTTTGATTTATGTCATTGTAAAAAGGATGCCAGTGTTGATCCACCACATCTCTTAGCATTTAGGATTTTTTATTTCAACCTAGTTCTTCTGAATTGTTGTTCAGAGAGGCTGTGGTATGTCTTACACTAATAAAGACATGTCAACGTTGTGGGAACTACCCATAATATAATGTTAACTAGGAAAAACAAAAAAGGATCCAAGTTATATATACAGGTTGACTCCACCTGTTTCAAAATGATTCTCTGTGAAGAAAAGAGGAAGTAAATGCACCCAAGGCTCAACAGTGGGATTATAGATTATTATCGTTGTACTTATTTATGTTTTCCAGATTTTCTGCAATGAACATGCATTAATTTTGCAGTGATATCTTTAATATAAAATATTTAAACAGAATTTGAAGTTTTATTTAAATAGTAAGCTCCCTGCTGGATCCAGAGTAGAATTCTATTTGCCGTATTTTCACTTAACTTGTCTTCTCAGAAACATACTTAGCTCGCAAAGAGATTAAACGAGATTGAATTTGTATCAGCTGCCAACCACTGGGAGCAGCTAGAGGGCCAGTTAATTCCAGGGTTTGCCACAGGAACCTGTGAGTGCTTTGGACAGCTTTGCCTTGCCCTGACTCCAGTTCTTAGAGGCTGACACTTCTGGCCTTCCTTTACTGTCCTGCAACAAAACCTATTGCCTGGAAAGGGCCTTATAAGTTAGCATTTTCCCAGGTGGTAACTCCATAGTTGTTTTTTAACAGCTTCTGGCTAGCATCATATTTTCCCCCCTTGAACACTTAACAACCATCTCTTGAATGCCTTTTGAGAAACCTGTTATAAGTTCACCTCACCAAGGTGTTAATGAATGATGATCCTGGAATATCTCTCCAGGAGGCATTTCTATTTCCCTTGCCTACTTTATGTTTTGACAAGTTTCTAAAATACTCTAACAGAGAAGTTGAAAAAAAAGAGTATCGTGAATGCCCATCACCCACTCCAAGATTCACCAATTAATGTTTTGCCATATTTGTTTTATATGCCTGTAATATATAACACAATTATATATTATGTATTAATGTATATTTGTGCATATGTGTATACATATTTGTGTATGTATATATTTGTGCGGGGGCATATATGTGTATATATGTATTTTTGTATGATATATGTGTATATTTTGTGTATATATGAGTATGTATATTTGTATATATATCTGTGCATATATGTATTTTTGTGTGTGCATATGTTTATGTATGTGTATGTCTACATGTATATATATTTATTACAAGTATGACACTTTGCTGATAAATATGTTGGGTCATATATTCTAATAATAAAGACATTCTTTTGCATAACCATAATACCATATCACACCTAAGAAAATGAGCAATAATTTCCTGTTATCATGTGATAACCCATCCTTTTCAAAATTTCCCAATTCCTAATTATATTATAGCGTTATTATTATCATCTTTTTTTTGAGACAGAGTCTCAGCCTGTTGCCTAGGCTGGAGTGCAGTGGCACGATCTTGGCTCAGTGCAAACTCTGCCTCCCGGGTTCAAGTGATTCTTCTGCCTCAGCCTCCCGAGTAGCTGGGATTACAAGTGCATGCCACCATGCCCGGCTAATTTTGTATTTTTAGTAGCGACAGAGTGTCACTGTGTTCCCTGGGCTGGTCTCGAACTCCTGACCTCGAGTGATCCAGCCACCTCAGTCTCCCAAAATCCTGGGATTATAGTCATGAGCCACTGCACCCAGCCATTATGGTATTATTTTTGAGCCAAGTCTTGCCACGGTTGTGAAAAGAAATTAAATGTTGGGACTCCAAACTCACTTAGCCAAAGAGAAAAGTCAAGTTGGGAACTGGGTCAAACAAACCTGCCTCCCCTGTTCCTAAATAAGATGGCTACAAGATGAAATGCTACAGGCCTCCCCCATATTTCGCCCACAAGGAAATTCCAGGTGAGCTGTTGTTAAAACTTAACCATGGCAATGCACATTGATAGCTTATCTTTACAAGTGCAGTCACCCCGGCCTGCCAGACACAAATGCATATCTGATTGTTCTCTTACCCCATTTTGTCTATGTTACCGTAATGTACATTCCCCACATTTTTCCCCTGCCCTTTTTTTTTTTGGAGACAGAGTGTCACCCAGGCTGGAGTGCGGTGGCATGATTTCCGCTCATGCAAGCTCCACCTCCTGGGTTCACACCATTCTCCTGCCTCAGCCTCCTGAATAGCTGGGACTACAGGTGCCTGCCACCACGGCTAATTCTTTGCATTTTTAGTAGAGATGGGGTTTCACCGTGTTAGTAAGGATGGTCTCGATCTGAACTCATGATCCACCTGCCTCGGCCTCCCAAAGTGCTGGGATATGGTGAGCCACCATACCCGGCCCCTGACCCTTTTCTTTACATGAAAATTGTGTTTCTCAATATCCAGCCCGCTCCCCTTTAAATTTTTTTTTTTTTTTTTTTTTTTTGAGAAGGAGTCTCACTCTGTCACCCAGGCTAGAGTGCAGTGGCATGATTTCTGCTCACTGCAACCTCCCTCTCCTGGGTTCAAGCATTTCTACCTCAGCCTCCCCAGTAACTGGGATTACAGGCATGTGCCACCATGCCCGGCTAATTTTTTTATATTTTTAGTGGAGACGGAGTTTCACCATGTTGGCCAGGCTGATCTCAAATTCCTGACGTCAAGTTATCCACCTGCCTTGGATAACCCAGCCCCCTTTAAATTTGGAGCCCTTGGCCGGGCACAGTACCTCATGCCTATAACCCCAGCACTTCAGGAGGCCAAGGCGGGCAGATCACGAGGTCAGGAGATTGAGACCATCCTGGTCAACATGGTGAAACCCTGTCTACTAAAAATACGAAAATTAGCCGGGCGTGGTGGTGGGTG